AAAGAGGAAGGAAACAAGCTTAAGACCTTGCGATTCCTAAAAAGGCAATGAGTTAAAATAGACAGTACATTGTATTAGAAATGTGTTATTTTGTAACAGGAAGATTGTAAGCCAAGCCTCCAAAGGAGGGGAGGCAGTTAGGGCTTAAAAACCTTCATGCATTGCTTGAACGGGGCTCTTCGGTCACACGGGGATGTGATGGGAGCCCGCCTTTGCAAACGCGACTCAATAAATATATTTGGTTGACCAAGCTAAAGGTCTCAGTCCGTTTATCCACGTTCAGGATTTTCTCACAAAAGTGTTCCCTTATCATGGCAGGGATAAGGAAATGAGGGCAGCATTTTCACAAATCCAGTACTGTATACAACTGCATTTTTAACCAAATGACATGAACACTGACCTTCTGTGGAAGTTGGCTGAGTGCTGATGCAAGCATGTTATTCCTTTCATCTGTTAAGCTTGCAACAAGAGAGCCCAGAGAAAACACCACAATGCCATGTTCCCCTGAACTCTGGACAAATTCTTCCATTTCCTGTTGAGAGATAAAATAATACTAATAATAATAATAAATTTTATTTATATCCCGCCCTCCCCAGCTGGGCTCAGGGCGGCTAACAACAATCAAATAACCAAATAGTTGAATAATCACACATTCTAAAATATTTCATTATAAAAATTAATTAAAATCAAATTGATGGCAACCAAAATACTGTGCAGGTTGCCAGAGGAGGGAGTCAGGCTGCGCCCTGACCAAAGGCCTGGTGGAACAACTCTGTCTTGCAGGCCCTGCGGAAAGATGTCAGGTCCCGCAGGGCCCTAGTCTCTTGTGACAGAGCATTCCACCAGATTGGAGCCGCAGCGAGAAGGCCCTGGCTCTAGCTGAGGCCAGCCTAACCTCTCTGTGGCCTGGGACCTTCAGGATGTTTTTATCTACAGACCGTAGGTTTCTCTGTGGGGCATACCAGGAGAGGCGGTCCCGTAGGTAGGCCATCTTTATAAACCATCTTTATAAACAAACAAACAAACAAACAAACAAACAAACAAACAACATTTCTCCATGCTTTTAAACCTAATGCACGAGTAAAGGTAAAGGGACCCCTGACCATGAGGTCCAGTCGTGACCAACTCTGGGGTTGCGGCGCTCATCTTGCTTTATTGGCCAAGGGAGCTGGCATACAGCTTCCGGATCATGTGGCCAGCATGACTAAGCCGCTTCTGGCGAACCAGAGCAGCGCACAGAAACGCCGTTTACCTTCCCGCCGGAGTGGTACCTATTTATCTACTTGCACTTTGATGTGCTTTCAAACTGCTAGGTTGGCAGGAGCAGGGACCGAACAACGGGAGCTCACCGCATCGCGGGGATTTGAACCGCCGACCTTCCGACCGGCAAGTCCTAGGCTCTGTAGCAATGTTTAAAGGCATGCTGGCTTGTAACAGGGAAGGTGGTCTTTAAGGTCCAGTTTTCAAACTACAGTACTGTATGTTTCAGGCTCCTCAGAAGGAGGTTCCAATGGCAACCACTGGACTGGAGAGGTGGGGCGAATGCCAGACAACAAGCAGAACCACAGGTCACATCATTTGGAGACACCGATTTCCCACTTTTTCTACTGTGCCATTAACTTTAAGCTTGTAGCCCATCCAGAAAGCACTCCACACCCCTCTCTACATAAACATGGGACACAATCCATGTGTCTTCACAAGCTTCGTTGGAATGAACAGCTGCTACAATGAGTAGACTGTTTGTTCCGCACGTCAGATGTGCTCTTCTCCCTTTCTGCCACTCTGAATGTTGCCCCAAACCCACATGATAGTAAGGCTGCTGCGGTGGTGACTCAACTGGGGCCTGAGCGCCAGAAGTAAGGCAGTGTGCAGCCGTGATGGGTGGTGTGCTGTGTCAGTAGCTGCAGTACATGGTGGTGCATGGAGGCAGCCACAGTGCTCAACGCCCGGTGGCCTCCGTAGCGCATGCGCTGTGTCATGACGTGATGTCATTACCTCATGTCACATTTGTGGGAATGTTTAGGGATGTGGGGGAGGATATATTGTCTAAGATATCCTATCCCAACTTGTCTTTACAAGTTCAACAAAATCAGCAGAGTTAACATCCCCCTTTTTTAAACACACGCACAGCAGATAGCTTGCTCCAGACTCGTTAGAGTCTCTGTAAATATTTCCTGGTATTTTCCCCGTTTAATCCCTCCTAAAATAAGACGCTACACAGTCTTCTGTAAAGTATAAAACGTTTACTGACAAGTAATCATCTGTTCACACAAAGGTACCCAGAAGGCAGACATAAAAGGTTAGAACATAGTTTAACTGTGGTAACTATCTCCTTATGAGAGAAAGCCCCCCTTCTCTTGGCCTGGAGCCAAGGGTGCATCTTAGTAGTGCTGTTGTTAAGATGGCATCAACAGAGACAAGAGAAACAAGATGGTCGCCAGCCTGTGGTTCTACTTTAGGAGAGGCCACGCCCATCACATAAGAAGTTTCATCTCAGTCCTGGAAAGCAGGAAGTTCTGGCTGGAGGACTGAGACATGAGTAGACTCATGAGTAGACTTCATGTCTACTCTAGCCATGTTGTGTTTGACTGCACCTGATTCTTACATCCCACAACATTATGACGTCATTACGGCGTGGTGCCGTGCGCACCAATGTTGGGCACCAATGTTGGGCACCCACAGTGTGGGGCCCAAGTGGGCACCTCTGTAAACTACGTTGACCTTGCCACTTCTTTATCACGCCACCACACGCCCTCCCCTTCCCCAGAGGTGCTTTGAACAAGATCCAGGCATGGTTATCATGCACAAGTGAAGGTCAAGGGAGAGAATTACCTCTGGCAAAGGCTTGGCTGGCTGACAGTGCAGACCCCCCACAAATTCAAAATTTGGTAGGGAAGGCAGCGGGAATTCGAAGTCCCAGTAGGTGCGGACCAACCAGATCTCTGCTTTCCCTATCACTTCACAACGAGTTGTGGGTCTCCCTGATGAATGAGGAAGAGAAACGGAATTACTTCACAAATGCAAAGGATTTGGCAAACTCGTTTCTAGAAATATTGAAAGCTAGTTTGCACATTACATTTCAAATGAACACCTAAAGATTTGAACAATAGTTGGGGACAAAGCTGTGCTTGAAAAAATACATGTACACTTATTCATTGGGAACCAAGATGGGCGGTGGCTCCTTGATGGATATTCTTTCAGAGGAAAATCCATGTCTGATATTTTTTGAAAGAACCCTTAGCTCTGAAGTCAGCATTGGTAGCTGAATGTGAATCAGAACTAGTAAGACAAGCCTTCCCCAACCTGATGCCTCCAGTTGCTGGATGGAGCTAATGGAAGTTGTAGCCCAAAATATCTGGAGCACAAAAGTGGGCAGGGCAGCAACTGGGGGAGGAGACCATGTATTCATGCTCCTTCCTCCCCACCTTCAGCACACACACATTCAGACAAATGTCTGAAAAGGGCTATTAAGATCCCAGGGCTGGTGGAGTGAAAGCTTCTGGCAGGATATATAGATCTCAGGACCTTCTAGGTCCAAAGAGTTGTTGCTAAGGCACTGGAACCAAAGCAAAAGAAACACCTTCATTGTTCCGCCTCTTGTTACTGAGTTGTGTATACAACATGAGGGCAAACACCATTTGCAGAAGCTTTCGATTCCTCCATCTTCCTTGCGTCTCTTTCTCTTTCTATGTTACTGATCCTCAAGTGTGCGATGCACATACACATATTTTGTACAAATTATTTGGTTGGTTGAACGGCATCGCAAAATTCAGGAAGCTGCAAGCTTGTGTCTCCGTGTGTGCGCTATTTAAGGAAACAACTTAAGGAAATAATTATTTAAGGAAATAATAAGGGCTTTTTCAGTGATGGCTCCAACCTGGTGGAATGTTCTGTCCCACGAGACCAGGGCCCTGCAGGACTTGATCTCCTTCGGCAGGGCCTGTAAGACAGAGCTCTTCCACCTGGCCTTCAATTTGAATTAGCCTGATCCTCTATTCCCTTTCTCCTTTTCTCTTCTATGAAGAAACCCTTTCTGGGACCCCACATTTAAATTCTTCCCTGGTCACCTTGCTGGCCCTAGTAGGACCAACTTGGCCAGTTAGCCCTGGTGATCATTTTGATGTCTACTGACTGGGTCCCCCCCCCAAAAAAAAATGACCCCTGAATTTTCAAATTTTATTGATACTGATGCTGCATTTTATGTTGTATTTTATGTTGCTTTAAAATCACATTTTAATCAATTTGCTGTTAGCCTCCAAACTGGGAAGGGCGGGGTATAAATAAAAAATTATTATATTTATTATCATTAAATGCAATTTAGGAAGGTTCACATAATATTGCAAACCAAAGTTTCTTCACAAAGCCCAGAAGAACACATCAGTAAATAAAGCAGCACAAAAGAATGCTGGTGGAACAATAGCTACAATATCAAATTTGCTTTTTCCATGCTTGAACATTGGTGGGAAAGAGCAGAAAATTCCAAAAGAATGCCCATGCTTCAATTCCAAATTCATTTTAGAAATTATTCTACTTCAAGTTGAATACAGCAGGCAGAGCAACTGGGTGAAGCGATAAAGGAGCAAAGCAGGTGAGATCTACACCTCCCTCCATTACAGGTAGTAGGCTCTCCAGCTTAGTAGAGTCTTTTCCCAGCTGACCGTGGCTCTACACAGGCCCAGGATGAGGCCTTTCCAATCCTGCTACTTGGAGGCCCCTTCTAACTGGCCATGCCAAGGACTGAAGTTGGAATCCTTGGCCTCTTTAGAGCATCTACTCTACCTTTGGGAAGAAGAAACAAAAACAGGCTTACCTAAAACCTGACTGTAATAAGAGTCCCACTCTCCCCACCAGCTCTGGTAAATATAATCTTGCACAAGGTAAGATATTATATTCTTCACCCGTTCTCCAAAAGACATTCTGTCTGTGAGCCCAGACATGATAGCTGGAACATACGAAGGAGGAGCAGGCATTTTGCCACAGTGTCTCTCCAGCGTTGAGGCTGGCGTGACCCTTACGGTGAACAGAAATGGGATGTTCAACTTCAGAGCAATGAGGTCGCCACAGGGTAAGATCAGGTCCGCAACCAGAACATCATAGTTGCTCTTTTTCAGGCGGGCCATGAGTTCCGGATTGCCCAGCACCGCTTCACACCTCTGCCTATGAATTTCATTTATGCTTCTTACGCATTTCCTTGCTGCTTGGTAGAAGCTGTGGAAAGTCAGGGTGGTTGGTTTGTTGTTCAAGCCCAACATTATGAGCTCCTGCATATAGGAGTCCATGGCACTCTTTCCATAGGGCACAGGGAACACCTCAAACCTGGCAGCCGCTATATCATCACTGGGTTTTATTAAAAAGGTTGTTGACGGAGTTAGGATGCTGACGTTGTGACCTCTATGCAGCAGTTCCTGAATAACGACCTTGATATATAGCCAGTGGCTGCCATCCTCTGGCCAGATAAGCACATTCCCACAGAAAATATTTCCCACTAAGACAAGCTGAAGTGTTAACAAATGAATTAATGCCACTCCTGCTGATGTGGGGGTCATGATGTTCTTTTCTGGGACAACCGATTTCTTCTGTCACTCCTCAACGGAGTTATTAATCAGTATTTCATTTTGCGCGGAAACCTCACATCATTAACTTTCCTTTCCCAGAAGACTTTTTAACCAAATGTGTTGAGTCAAGTCTGTTGTTGGAGATTTCTGGAATGAAAAAACAAACGGCACAACATTCATCCATCGCTATTTCAACTAAATGATTTTTTTACACAACTGGAATCAATGCAAATGTACCTTCCACCCCAAAACAACAACTTATTAGCATATCGTTTTATACAGCTATATGATATAGGATATATACATCTTCTGGGTTACACCCTCCAGGCCAAGGGGGTATAGGATATTGCAGCTGTTCCAGTGGTGTAGCTGCCCTGATATGGTTGGGAAGTATTGGATTACTCCCCTACTTTCACAGGTACAACTGAACCATATTCTTGCCCACCTTGGAGAATCCTGCTCCTAATTTCATTCATGCCATTCAAATATGCAGACATCACGTGAAGCAATCTTCCTGGGACTCTGCGACTGTAGGATGCAGGTGGGAGATTGAATGCCAATGCTCTCGTGAACAAAAAACTAGCATATCAGGGCAGAGGTCTAGGTGCAAGCACCTTCTCTAACAAGCTAGATTTCCATCTGCAGTGAGTACATGCACATGCTATCTTCCCTAAACGTCCTCGGCCCAGTATACCTGAAGGAGCGTTTCCACCCCCATCGTTCTGCCCGGATACTGAGGTCCAGCGCCAAGGGCCTTCTGGCGGTTCCCTCACTGCGAGAAGCAAAGCTACAGGGAACCAGGCAGAGGGCCTTCTCGGTAGTGGCGCCCGCCCTGTGGAATGCCCTCCCATCAGATGTCAAAGAGATAAACAACTACCTAACATTCAGAAGACATTTTAAGGCAGCCCTGTTCAGGGAAGTTTTTAATGTGTGACATCTTAGTGTATTTTTTGTCTTTGTGGAAGCCGCCCAGAGTGGCTGGGGAAACCCAGCCAGATGGGCAAGGTACAAATAATAAATTATTATTATTATTATTATTATTATTATTATTATTATTCTGTTTTCAGTCTGAAATGGAACGGTCCCAGGGTTGTGGGTACGCAGTATACCGTGACCATTCAGGGAGGGAGGAAAGAATATTGGGAAGTTGGATGCAACAGAAGGGCAAACTTAAAAGTTTTAGGCATGTTATGTAATATAACCCTTAACTTCACAGAACTCTGTGACAGTGGCTAACTCCAAAGTAAGTGTTCCACTTAGCTGCCTTAGGGGCCAGTTCCTTTGCAGGGCTGGGCAGTTGTAATTACTGGTTCTCTTTCATTAGTTTATTTTGGGGTAAAATAGAGCATTAAAAGAATAAAAGAATAAAGAATAAACAAGAATAAAGCAGATAGAGGAAACCAGAAATGTAAAGCTTCAACATCCAGTCCCCAGCCCCTAATAGTTCTCAAATTTTGGCCCCATGGAAGGTGTTGTAATCACAAAGGAACTGGCCAGGTGCAGGCCAGCTTAGGCTTCTGTGAGGGACAGCAGAGTCAGACCAGAATCTGGTGATGCAGTCCCTCAGAATTCCACCAGAGGGCTGCAGCCTCTCTCTGATTGGCTACCAAGGCAGCTAGTCAGAGGGGGGTGGAGCCAGCACTTTGGGCGGGAGAATAAAAGGAGCCGTTTCTGAGGGAGAAAGTTAGAAGGGGTAGTGAAGGGAAAGAGCTGGAGCGAGATAGTTTGAGAGACAGGGCTTGATTTGAGATGGTAGATAGGAATTAGGATAGGGTTTGTCTGAGGGAGAATGAGTTCTGATTTGAGTTGAACATCTGCTCTGAGGAGAATAACTTTAGCTGGAGGAAGGAGCCTCACAGCTTAGATAGGGAGACTGGGTTGAGGGTCTGGGGAAGGTATACAGACAGGAGTTAACTGTGTGGGAATGTTCAGGGAGGCAGGAGAGGATATATTCTTTAATTATATCCTTCCCAACTTGTGTTAACAAGTTCTATAATTTAGCAGAGTAACATTCCCCTTTTTAAAACTTACACAGCGGATAACGTTTTGCCATGCCTGCTTAAGCCTCTAAAATAAGTGTCCTGGTAATTCCCTTTATTCCCTCGTAAAAATAATAGACACGACACAGTCTTGTATAAAAAGTATAAAATAGTTTATTCACACATTCTGTTCACAGATGGATCCTAGAAGGCAGACTTAAGTTACAAAATATATACACCTGGAATCTATCCCATAAGAAGATAGTTACAGTGGTGCCCCGCAAGACGAATGCCTCGCAAGACGGAAAACCCGCTAGACGAAAGGGTTTTCCGTTTTGGAAGTGCTTCGCAAAACGAATTTCCTATAGGCTTGCTTCGCAAGACGAAAATGTCTTGCGAGTTCCTGCGGGGTTTTTTCCCTCCCCCCCCTTTTCCCCAAGCTGCTAAGCCGCTAAACAGCTGGTCCGCTAAGCCGCTTAACAGCTGATCGCTAAGTCTCTTATCAGCTGATCCGCTAAGCCGCTTAACAGCTGATCCACTAAGCCGCTAAGCTGCTTATCAGCTGATCCGCTAAGCCGCTAAGCCGCTTATCAGCTGATCCGCTAAGCCGCTAAGCCGCTAATAGCGCTAATCTGCTAAGCCGCTAATGGGCTTGCTTCGCAAGACGAAAAAACCGCAAGACGAAGAGACTCGCGGAATGGATTCTTTTCGTCTTGCGAGGCACCACTATACTTTGTCCTCCCTTGGCTGGAAGACAAGAGAGCATCTCAGGCTAAGGAGCTGTTGCTTCTTTGCGGAATGGAGTCAGAGAGAGATGTGGTGGCCAGTCCTGTGCTTTTGTTACCTGCACAGGTGAGGTCACGCCCACCTCTGGTCACATGTAGAGAAAATTTGCCCCAGCCCAGGAGGAAACAGGAAGTTTATCTACTGGCTGGACAAACATCCCTCTTCGTGTCTAAACATGTCCACTCTAGGAATGTTGTATTTGACTGCTCTGTGTTTCACACCCCACAAACTGGAGGGCTGAGTCTGTGCCAGGAGAGGGAGAAGCTATGAGGATACAGCTTACATGGAACTCATTCCAGTCAGGAGGGAGAGGTCTTCTAGATCAAACTCTTCTAGATCAAACTCTGGCCCTCCAGATGTTTGGGACTACAATTCCCATCATCCCTGACCACTGGTCCTGTTAGCTAGGGATGATGGGAATTGTAGTCCCAAACATCTGGAGGGCCTGAGTTTCCCTATGCCTGTTCTAGATAAAGAAGACTCCCAAACCAGTAACAAGGAGTGAGGCAACCCCCTGGGTCTGTTAACAATCCCACGCCTGAGGTATTCCAACTAGTTTGTTGGAATACCTCAGGAGTGTGATTGTTAACTGACAAAAATGCCCCTCACTCATGAACCAAAGTATTAACTGTGAAGGAAGCTGTGCTGTGTTAAAAGTATTTAACTGTCATAACTAAGTAAAGGAATGAGAGTGAAGTAGCAGAAATTGAATTATAGTCATTTTGCTGCCTATTCTAGAAACCTGAACATCTGCCTGAAGTGTAACAACAGATTTTTAGCAACTGAAAACTGTTTAATCCTGCGACAGCTTTACATTGTATTTTTTATATTCTGTTGAGAGCTGCCCAGAGTGGCTGAGGAAACCCAGCCAGATGGGCGGAGGTATAAATAATATATCATCATCATCATCATCAACATCATCATTCAGTTTAAGTAATAAGTTGACTTCTACCTGAAAGAACGCATTTCCTGACCCAACTTTGTTTCACCAACCTCTTTTTGCAAATAAAACTTTCCTAGTTTGATTGACTCCTGCCGGAGACCCCTGAATCGAAGTTTCCCTCACACAAGACCCCCCACGAGATAGCCTGTGGTAAATGGTAGAAATTCGCTTGATTGGCCTGCCGTGCGGTGGGTTCGTTATATTTAATTAGGGGCAATTAGTGAGGGGAGCGCTGTGGGTTAAACCACAGAGCCTAGGACTTGCCGATCAGAAGGTTGGCAGTTCGAATCCCCGCAATGGGGTGAGCTCCCATTGCTTGGTCCCTGTTCCTGACAACCTAACAGTTCGAAAGCATGTCAAAGTGCAAGTAGATAAATAGGTACCGCTCTGGTGGGAAGGTAAACGGCGTTTCCGTGCGCTGCTCTGGTTCGCCAGAAGCGGCTTAGTCATGCAGGCCACATGACCCGGAAGCTGTACGCCGGCTCCCTCGGCCAATAAAGCGAGATGAGCGCTGCAACCTCAGAATCGGCCACGACTGGACCTAATGGTCAGGGGTCCCTTTACCCTTTACCTAGCTGGGTGAATCTGCTATGGCTTCATCACGATGGCTGCTTCGTATACCTTGGGCCACATGATTCCCTTTATATTGGCCAACACTTCGCTTTGCCTTCCCAGACAAAATCTATTCAGGGTCTCCTGACTTACCTGGATATGCTGAGATGCTCACTCCCTGCTGCCCTAGGAAAAGGACAAAGGTGTCTTGAGGCTCAGACCCAGATAACAGAGCTTGACTATCTTAGTATAAAATGCAGTGGGCTGGACTGCAGTAGTTCACTATGTGCAGTTCCATAAGGGTGGGTACTGACCCCTCTTTCAATTATTAACTTTTCAGTTTCCCAGTACTGTTGCATGCATTTTGACGATATTCCTTCACTTCTCTGCTGAACAAGCAGCAAGCACTTTGCCCTGTTATGGCCTGGTTTGGGGGCCACAACCAGGTAGTGCACTTTAGACAACAGCTTTGTTGTGCATGCCAAATCAATCAGATTTGCAACATGCAACTTAGCTCTCTCCTTTGTATGGGGAAATGCAGGGGCGCCAGGATAAGCAAACAGAATCCAAATTGCTCGAGTCCAAAGATCTCAGACCCCACCTAGCTCCTGTAAAGAAAGTCACTCTCACACAAGCACACATGCACACAAAATTTTGCCGTATATTTTGCTCTATAAGACTCACTTTTTCCCTCCTAAAAAGTAAGGGGAAATGTGTGTGCGTCTTATGGAGCTAATGCAGGCTGCGTAGCTATCCCAGAAGCCAGAACAGCAAGAGGGATCGCTGCTTTCACTGCGCAGCGACCCCTCTTGCTGTTCTGGCTTCTGAGATTCAGAATATTTTTTTTCTTGTTTTCCTCCTCCAAAAACTAGGTGCATCTTGTGGTCTGGTGCGTCTTATAGAGCGAAAAATACGGTAACTGTTCTGTTCTGGTTGCCAAGCAGTCACCAATGAGTTTTTGGCTTGGCATCAAGGTGACTGATACTGAATTTTCAAGGGAATTTAACTAAATAAATGGAAGGATAGAACAGTAGAGGTATGATACAAGTCTTTTAAAGGGTTACAGTCATACCTCGTGTTACGTTTGCTTCATGTTACGTTTTTTCAGGTTGCGTCCCGTGGCGACCCGGAAGTACCGGAAAGGGTTACTTCCGGGTTTCGCTGCTCGCACATGCGCAGTAGCGCTAAATTGCGCTTTGCGCATGCACACAAGCACCATATCATGCTGTGCACCTGCACAGATACGGCACTTCAGGTTGCGAGGTTTTCATGTTGCGAACGGGCCTCCAGAACGGATCCCATTCGCAACCAGAGGTACCACTGTATATATAAAAAGATTGTAAGCATAAAATGTCTTTAATAAACATTAACTTAATAGGGCCGCCAAATACACAAGTTGTTTCTAGAGCTTCTGCCAACACGCTAAAAACCATGTTTAAAGATACAAGATGCATTTTAGCATTGACAGAGCCCCAGCCAAACTGCAGAAAAGGACAAAAGAATTTTTTGTAACGGAAAGAAAGAACATGAAAAAGGGAAGAGAAAATAATAATGAACAGAGAAAGAGATGGAAGGACGAACGGACAGAAGGAACGCATATCCTCCAAGTGTCTTGGTTTTACCATCTCATACAAGACTACATTTTTCTACTTTTCCAGATGTGGAAGATAATTTTGACTATCCACTAGGTGGTGTTATGTGTTTGTGCTCCTCAGTAAACTAAAATATATACCCTTCCCCTTGCTTGGCAACCTACCAGCCAATAGAAAAGAGAAGAAATGGAAAGAAAAGAAAAACATTTTATTAGGTATTATGCTTTCTGTCCAGGGACGCGGGTGGCGCTGTGGGTAAAAGCCTCAGCGCCTAGGGCTTGCCGATCGAAAGGTCGTGGTTCGAATCCCCGCAGCGGGGTGCGCTCCCGTTGCTCGGTCCCAGCGCCTGCCAACCTAGCAGTCCGAAAGCACCCCCAGGTGCAAGTAGATAAATAGGGACCGCTTTCTAGCGGGAAGGTAAACGGCGTTTCCGTGTGCTGCGCTGGCTCACCAGATGCAGCTTTGTCACGCTGGCCCCCGGCCTCTTGAGTGAGATGGGCGCACAACCCCAGAGTCTGTCAAGACTGGCCCGTACGGGCAGGGGTACCTTTACCTTTACCTATGCTTTCTGTAGATATGTGTGGACAAGTGCTGCCTCGTCTAATTCACTCAAGAGAAGGAAAATAGCTTATACTCCTGCTCCAGTTAGGGGATCATATTTTTCCACTAACTGAAAACCTCGGGATTGTGCACTTGGACTCCACATCAACCAATCAATTTAATTTAAATTGCTCATGGTAGTGTATCTCATTCTGCATGAGTTTAACCCTTTCTCCTCAAGTCCGTGGGGCAGCACATGTGCCTTCATTCTCACCCACTACACAAAGACACTGCCCCAAATGTTGCATCCTCCAATATAAGACTATTCTCTCGCTTAATCCGGTTTATTCCTTCTAGCAGTGACCTGCCTTCCCCCACACTTTCCTCTTTACTGTGCTCATTTCTCAAGAAGCTCTCTCTGGCATATCCAAAATCTCGCGCTGCTACAACACAGCGACTCAGTAAAATCTCCCCTCTCCATGTCCAGTCCATCCACCATGCTCCCCATTCAACCCACGAACTCTATTGTGGTGCCAGTTCTGATGGGGTGAAAAGTGAAGAGGTAAGGCGCCCATTCCCAAGCACTGCTTTCACTGAAAAACAAATAAAAGCAAACCAGCCAGTAATTTTTTAAAAGAAATTTTGCTAATGGCTAGTTTGGCTCCCCTTAGATTGTAGATTTGTTTTTGAAACATGGTGCATCACATTGTCAAATCTCATGGGCTTTTTACCAACTGCAGGCCGCTGGATCCATCCCCAAGAAAATCCGGTTGCAAGAAAGTTGGAACAGGTGTGTTATGTACTGAATTGAATAGGGTCCAGAAGGCAGCAGTCTGATTGGTCCTAGAACAATAGGGTCCATAATGCAGCAGTCTGATTGGTCCACAGGAGCCACCCAATCCAGCTCCAGGTGGAAGGGAATCCGCAACCTGATTGGCCTACAGGTGAATCCTGGAATTAGTCAATCATGTGGGGCCCATTGTGTAAATAATGTATATAAAGCAGACATTCTGGGGAACCTCCATTCCTCCTCACCACCATGAGCTGAATAAAGAGCATGAAATCCACTCTCGACTCCGAGTATATTTCAAGGTGATACGGGAAGTTGTTCAGGTTTTTGTCATCCATGCACTTCCTTTTGCCAAGATGCTTTCAGTCATTGCAGCTGCCACACCATTCCCAAAATAAACCCATCGAAATGCTCTACTCAAGAACATCTCACACACTGTGTTGTGGTGAAGATATAAGTGTGATCAGGACTTATTAACTGAGACAGCTCCTGTCTATTAAACCAGTTTGTATTCAGTGCAATACGTCCTTTATCATTCAGGGTACTGCAGGAGTTAATTCTGGACCTTCCTATGTGAAAAGTTTTGACTACCTGCTTTCAGTTCTGGGCATCAAAAGACCTGTTGGATTAACCTTTGTTTATCTGGTAAGGTTTATGTGAAATCAAATAGCATTGCTACCGCCCTCTCCACCAGTCCCTACATTATTCCCCTGAACATGCCAGGGGAATGTCCCGCCCGATTCTCACATTTCTCTCTTTCCATTTAATACCTCTATTCAAAACAAATCTTATTTAAGCTTCTTTTCCTTTACTCCATGCAGAAGACTGCTGAATCTGGAAAGGAGAAGACCAGGTAGGTGTCAATGGGGCAAGATTGATCTGGTTTATCATTGTTATTAACATCATGATGATAATTTATTACTTAGGCACTCAGAATATTTTTTTTAAATAATAATAAATAGGAAACACCAGACATTAAAAGCTCCCCATGAAGTCCTAACAGATGCTATAAGACATGATGGTTAATTTCCTGTTGTATTGATAATAACTCCTGTTTAGCCAGTTTCCTAATCTTGCATTGGCATCTTGAAAGATTGGGTTATCGTCTTCTTAGCAGAATAATGCCTACAAATTCAATCCACTGAAAAGGATATACCAAGAGCTCTGGCCACAAGTTTCAATATAAAGAATAATTTTTACTCGAGAGTTGAAAAGAAAAACGTGTATATTCTTCTAAGAATAACAGTTTGAAGCTAATAGTAAATTTAAATACAACGTGTAAGTACGATAGTTTTAAGGTAATAGTAAATTTAGATACAACGTTTAAGTGCAGAAATAATGTAGTTTCAAATATGCAGTGGGAAAAAAATACCAAGAGCTCTGGCCACAAGTTTTTTTCCACTGCATATTTTTTTCCCACTGCATATTTGAAACTACATTATTTCTGCACTTAAACGTTGTATCTAAATTTACTATTACCTTAAAACTATCGTACTTACACGTTGTATTTAAATTTACTATTAGCTTCAAACTGTTATTCTTAGAAGAATATACACGTTTTTCTTTTCAACTCTCGAGTAAAAATTATTCTTTATATTGAAACTTGTGGCCAGAGCTCTTGGTATATCCTTTTCAGTGTACAAATTCAATCCAGCATTTCTCGTGCACATGATTACGCTCACCTGGCAACATACATCGGTATCCTGGCTACATAAAAACAGCTCCTGAAACTGGAACGGTCGCGACAGCCCACACGCCTCTGCATCTGTGAGTTTGGGAGGGAAAGAGGTAACTATGGATGCTGGTCGATGCAAACCGCTGAAGGTGGTCTGAGAGTTGCTACTAGCGTAGAATGTTGTGGCTCACTTCTTGATGGGGGCACATTTTCAGAAGGATTTCCAGCTCAGCTGCATCGGTTTCCGATTAGCATCAGAGCCCATTTCAGTGCTGGGAATGAACCTCAAAACCATACATGAAAGGCTGAAGCCTTGGGGGGCCTCTCTTCCCATCTGTGCTTCCCCCTTCCCTGAGATCCACAAGGAAAAGCTTTCTTGTATGTCCCACGATGCTGAAGATGTGAGGATACAGTTACTGTGGTAACACCTGTGACTGCATTAAGGTAAAGGTACCCCTGCCCGACAGGGCCAGTCGTGACCGACTCTAGGGTTGCGCGCTCATCTCGCTCAAGAGGCCGGGAGCCGGCGCTGTCCGGAGACACTTCCGGGTCACGTGGCCAGCGGGACGAAGCTGCTCTGGCGAGCCAGCACCAGCGCCGCACACGGAAACGCCGTTTACCTTCCCGCTATAAAGCGGTACCTATTTATCTACTTGCACTTA